TCAATTGATCTACCCAACAGCTGGATGAAGAGAGAGAGAGAAAAGTTACTTAATATTCACACTGGGCAGGTGCAGTGGCTCATGCCTATCATCCCAGCACTTTGGGGAGCCAAGGTGGGAGTGAGACAGCCAGGTGGGGGGCAGGGTCCCTGAAGAAACTCCAACCAGCCTGCCCACTGAGATGGAGCCTCGGGAAGTTCATGTTTGCAGCAGGGAGGAGCCTGGCCACTCCTCTTCCTGTGTGGAACCTGGGATTCCAATGGCCTAATGGGAAGTGCTCTAGCGGGAAGCGCTCTAGCAGAGGGACTCTGGCCTTGTGACTGTCCCTGTTTCCCTACTTTTTTTACTTTTCACCTAATAAAACCCTGCTTTATCCACCCTTTAAACTGTCTGCAAGCCTAAATTTTCATGTCCATGGGACGGACAAGGACCCTGTCTTTAGGTGAACTAAGGAAAAGTCCCACAACAGGAGGATAGCTTGAGCCCAGGAGTTTGACACCAGCATGGGCAACATAGTGAGACCGTGTCTCTACAAAAAATTTTTAAAAAGGCCAGGTGTGGTGGTGTACACCTGTAGTCCTAGCTACTTGGGAGGCAAGAGGCCAGAAGACAGCTCGAACCTAAGAGTTTGTGGCTGCAGTGAGCTATGATTGCACCACTGCACTCCAGCCTGGGTGACAGAGACAGACCCTTTCTCTTAAAACAAACAAAAAAAGATTCACACTGACAACCTGACAACTATGTGCATGCACTGATAGGAAATTGCATTAAAATTATAAAGGACATAACTGGGACAGTTTCTATTCTGATTTTATAAGAGAATGTCCTTGTTATTAGGAGATACAGGCTGAAGCATTCAGGGGTGAAATGTCATATTTGGCAACTTAAACTCTCAAATAGTTAAGAACAGCAGTATGTATATTCATCACACACACACACTGTATAAGTGCTAGAGAGAAAATACATACATGAGAGAGAGAATGTGAACAAAATATGGTAAAAGATTAATGCTTGCAAATCTGGCTACAGGGTAAATAAGTATTCATCGTATTATTCTTTTGACTTCTCTGTAGGCTTGAAATATATGAAGTTTAGGAAAAATATTTTTCATTCAGGCTGTGGGAAGGGGCTCCAGGTAGGCTCTGGCTTCCCATAAATGTTGCTGTTGGCATCCTAACTCTAGCCCTAAGATTCTTCCTGCATCTTTTCTGTGCTCAATTCAGTCACCAGGGCACAGCAAGCACCTCAGCAAGGGCCCACTTTGTGCCTTCAGGAGGGAAAATTTAAAATCAAGAGAATGAAAGTCTGATTACAGGATGGAAAATACAACTTAAGGTACTTTCTGCTGGGGTACACGCAGGCTTTACTGCAGATGTTACGTAGAGGGCAATGAACATTTGTCGAGTACCTGCTGTGTCCACAGTGCTTTGCTAGGTACCAAACGATTATTCTTAAGTGTTTTATTTTTCCTACTTCTCTTTTGGCATAAATTTTCTACCAACCAACTAGAGCCCCTTATAGTCATCTCATGCACACATAAAGCCCTCAGTATTTAATATCCTGTGGCTAATTCTGGCTGCGTTGTAACGGATAGCAGTAATCTTCTGAGAAGCTGAAGGAAAAGCTCTCATTGAGCCCCTGCTGTTGGCAGAAGTAAAGATTCTATTTTTCCCCCTCTTAACGATTCTCCATTTCCCTTGGATTTCTCATAGCAAGGGGAATATCCATATTTGAGATGAATCCTTTGCTTTTCGCCTCTGGCATGGTCTTAGCCTCAGCCCGGCCCTTTCACAAAGACCAGGACCACATAGTAGCACACGGATATCACAGCATAAAGGCCATTTTGCCACCTGCTTGGCCCACAGCAGGGCTCTGTGAGGAGGGCTCGACATCTGCCCGGCCATCTCTTCTGTTGTCTGTCTGCCTCACATTAACATTGTTAAATGGGGATGTTTCTCAGTTCCTAGCAACGTTTCCTCTCTATCCAGGGTCAAATGCTAGTAGAAACCAACTCTGCACACACACAAAAAAACAATTTCCACCATGGATTTGCCCTGATATGCTTTCCTTTCAAAAGCACCACCGTCTTCCTCATTTAGAGCAGCACTTGGGCCCTGTTCAGGGGCAGATTTACCCATCTCTGAGCGGCAGCCCCAACTGAAAAAGGTGAGCTGCAGCTTATGATGAGAAGACAAAGGCTTTGATTGTCATGACTTGTGAGAGGTCGGTTATAGATGGGTAGAGAAGCCCAGGACTTGAACCAAAGGAAGCCCAATGCCCCCGTACTGTTTGTGAGATTCTGAGGCTGTGCTTCCTGACCTCAGAAGCCCGCACTGGGCATGCAGGGCAGACAGTACCCAGGCCTGATTTCTGATCTCTATGCTGACTTCACGGCTGCTCTCTCCTGCCCCTTTCATCTCCATGGTGGCTTCCTCTCACCATACCTGGACGTGTCTCTGCTTCAGCAGTGTTTCATAGCGATTGGACGGTGGATATGGAATGATAACTCCATAATTCTTACATTCAGCTCGAAAACGTTTATCCAACAGGACACTGGAAGGGATAAAAGTTAAACAAGACCAGTAAACAGACAGTGAATGACTCTCAACTGCCCAGGTACATCTATTTCAGACCATGGGATCTACCCACAGAGCATTAGCTTATGTATCTTAAGTAGAACTGTTTTCTGCTCTAGACAAGTTTCTTCAAATTTCTTTTCCGTCACAGCAGCTCAATAAGTGAAACGGAGTTTCTGAGTTAAAGATGGGCAACAAAGAAGTTGAGCCACTTTCCTCTTATTTATTTACCACAAAACCAATTGAGTGCATGCTTGGTATATCCCAGGAAACATTCTGGGCACTGGGAATACGAAGTTCCTGTCCTCATAACGCTTATATTCTAGTGAGGAAAGACTGATAATATAAACACAAACAGAGGAATGAAAAAATTTCAGATAATAGGTAAGAGTTGCATAGTGTTTATTATTTCCCAGGTACTTGAAACACACACACACACACACACACACACACACACACACACACACACACATTTCATTTTAAATCTCACCACAACCCTATGAGCTGGGAGTGTTATTATCTCTCACACTGACGCATGGATTGCAGAGTACCAAGTGTCTTGAAAATAATAAAATGGGACCATTTGGAGTTAGGAAGTCAGGCAAAGTCTGTCTAAAGAAGTTTTGCTAAACAGAGACCTGAATGATAAAATTGGCAAGATCTAGAGGAAGACTATCATTGACACAATGAGCTTGGTTATGTTTGAGAAAAGGAAAGACAGCCAGTGTGGATCAAGTACAGGGTAGGCTTGAGGACATGGTGCAAGATGAATTTATAACATCAGACCAGGGGCCAGGCCAGGTAGGGCCATGCAGGCCATAGTAAAGAGGCTAGGTGTATCCCAGACATAACTAAAAGTCATTTAAAGGTTTTATGCAAGAAAGAGACATCATCTAAATGTACATGTCTAAAGTAGTAGCCACCAGCCACATGTGCCTACTGAACACTTGAGATGTGGCTGGCCCAAATTGAGACGGACCGTAAGATACACACTGGATTTTGAGGACTTAAAAAAAAGAAAAAGAAAAATCTCTAATAATTTCTATATTGAGTATAAGTCAAAATTACAATGTTTTGGATATGGTGGGGTTAAATAAAATATATTATTAAAATTAATTTCACCTGTTTCTTTTCCTTTTAAAAATATGTCTACTAAAAAAATTAAAATAACATCTCTGGCTCACATTTGTGGCCAAATGGCATTTCTAATTAACAGGACTGACCTAGCTCATTGTTTTCCTCCTTGGCTTTCTTCAGATCTCTCAACCTCCTCAACTTCCCATACTTTAAAAAAATCACTGATCTTACAGGGAAGGGTGTACATAAAAGCCCATATTTCATATGAAGGAAGACCCAGGGTTCGACACGCCTGAGTCTGTTTATATAGATGATGAAACAGCATATTTGGAGTCAGAATTGTCTTATAGAAGCCAGAAGCCCAACTCACTGTTACAACCACATCCCATTCAATCCACAGATGCCTATTAAGTGACTACTTTGTGAAAGGCTGTGTTCTCTGCTTCCTCTGAAATCCTACATGCATGCTTTTTTTTCTTTTTTTTTAATTAAAAAAAGAAAAAAATAACCGTTAATCAAAAAGTCTGATTAAATTCAAAATTAATGCAAACTCTTAAAAATTTTCTGGAAAAGTCAACAGGGTGCATCATAGAAAAGCAGGCAGCTGCTCACAGTTATCTGGTGGAAAAGTAAGTTGCAAACTTACCCGAGCTGCCCAAATGATTATCAAGCCAAGTTTGTTTTTCAAAAATAGGTTTTAAAATATACCAAAGAAACTATACAAAAATTTAACAATGAAGTTAAAGTATATAGCAAAAAATAAATATGACAATACACATGAATAATGTATAAAAGAAGCCTTTCGATCCTAGAAAACTAAAATCAGGAGAACTTACTGAAGGGTAACAAACATAAACTGAGGACTAATAGCAAGGAACAATCTTAAACGTTTCCCAATGACTGACTAAGCCTCAAAAAGACAGCTTAGAAAAACAATTAACATGTAGTTTTTTTCCCTAGCCAATTCAGTTCTATTTAGATAAATCTGGTGACCAGTCAATGCGTATATAAGTTAATTTCTTTCTACTCAATTACTACCATTTTTTTCTTTTTCACCTTTCCCCTAATTTCCTCTGGCAACACTTTTCCTTTGGTTTGATCAGCTGAACTCAAAAGGTTTGGTACCTAAAATGAGTATCAACTCTTATTGGAACAGTACTTGGGAAATGCAATCCTAGAAAAGGCAAATGTTTAACCGAGGGCGTGACAAAGTTAAGCGTCCATTCTCCATAGGACAATGTCTCCATGTTCACCACTAGGTTAATGGCTGCGCTTGGCTAGATCACATGACCCTGCATGATAGTGGAATGCTCCCTGGCAAGGTACTGCAGGTGTGTGCACAAACACCCACCCATTTAAGCTTTTAATAAATACAAAGCATCATTTTAAACAATTTCAGTGGAATAAACTAAAAATATTGCATTTCTATTGGCCTGCTTTGCTTCTTAAGCTGGCTTGGAGTGTTGTCCGTGACACATAAGTCACAATAGTTAATTACTGGCTACTCCAACCTCTTTAGGCTTCACCACTTCTCACTCTTCAAGCCTCAGCACCTTTTTTGCAGCAATAATGGTATTCTTCATTAGCATTGCCACTGTCATGGGGACAACAAGTCCAGGAACTGGAGTGATATAACCAGCTTTTTGTCTGACTCCTTCAAAATCCACATCTCCAACCAACTTGGGTTTGGCAGTTATGGGATCGTGAACTCTATTTATTCCCACATCAATAACTGCTGCTCCTTCCTTGATCATATCTGCTGTGATCAGATTTGGAATGCCTGCAGCGGATATTACAATATCTGCAAGAATTGTATGCTTCTTCAACTGCTGTTTGGGAGTATATCGATGAGATATTGTAACAGTGGCATCACCTCTGGGATGTTCATGTGCCCTGTCTGTGTGCAGTAACATTGCAATGGGCATTCCAACATTTTTTAACCCTCCAGCCAAGCACATTCTTCCAGCTGGGTTGGAATGCCAGTTCGCTTGATTATTTCCCACACACCCCATGGAGTAGCCGGTAACATGGAATCCTGGTCCAAACACATTTGCCCTACATTAATTACATGACATCAACATCCTTGTCTGGAGAAACAGCACTGCAGATCTTTCTCTCGTCAATATGCTCTGGAAGAGGCAGTTGAACAAGGAGGCCATCTATGTTATCATCATTATTCAGTTTATTGATTAAATTCAACAATTCTTCCTCTGAAATTGAAGCCGGTTTCACAACTGTCTCCCTGTTGATTCCCACATCTGCTGCTGCTCTGGTTTTGTTGAGGACATAGGAGTGATTGCAGGATTCTGGACAAAGAGGATCATGCTCAGGTGTGGCCGCTTATTGCCTGAGGCCACCCACTCTTCCACCTCCTGCTGTCCTTCCTGGTTGATCTGCTGGGCCAGTTTCCTTCTAGAAATGACCACGGCTTCATTTCGAACTGCCACGAGGTGGAAGGGGCGAGGGTGGAGGGAGCATCTGTGCACAGACTGCAGCAGTCGGGCAGCCAACATGGACATGAGCGAAGGCGCAGGCATAGCCCACGCCAGTGACCATGCCGGGTGGGCCCTACATGCATGCTTTCTATACTTTGCAGCCTGTAAGAGTCACGTTGTTGAATGCACAGCCTATGTTAACAGAAACTTGGGTGTGCGGCACATCAACTCCTATTTGAAATATATCAGGGCTACTCTGGCTGCTAAAAGCAAAATGAAGCAAATCCTTTTCACAGAAAGAAAATTTATTAAGGAAAGGAACTATCCTTGGAATTACTGGTTGATATGTTTGGATTTCCAATAAGAATGGAAATAGCTACATATAAAATTTGAGGTTTTCCTTATCTGTGCTATTACAGGTTCTTGAAATGCAAGAACTCGTGAGGGTTGAAATCAACATATACTGGCAATACCCAGGAGCCTCTAAGCCAGACACATCTCTGATCCAGACTTCTTCACTGACCTCATCTGATTTGCACATACCCATTCTTCTCCAATTCATTCTTCACGCATTTATATTTTTAAGGGAGTAAACTTTCAAAAGCAAATAAAAATCGAATCAGGTCACTGTGGTACTTTTGAAACCATCTGGAGGCATTCCACACCTAGCAGAAGCAGCTACAAAACTGGTGTGCTCTGGCCATGCCCACCTCCCCAGCCACATCAGGCAGTGCTGCCCCCTCGTGGTGGTGAAGAGACACTGACATGTATGAATGCACAGGAATCCTCCCACAGCCCTGGGAGGTTGGCATGCTGTTCTCATTATACTCCCGACACAGGGGCCTTGCGCAAGCAGCTCCTTTTGCCTGCAACTTCCTGCCCCATCCTTCACCTAGTTTTACTTTTTTCACTCGTACCAACTTCGGATAAGAACTCAGACACCACTTCCGCAAGATATGGCCTTTCTAGTTCCCCGCCCCAAAGGTTTAACTGTTCAAATTTAACTGTCATATGTTCTCATGAGCTTTTGCCTCTGAGAGAGCATCTAACCTCCTTGTCACTGTGCATTCATGGGCTGTAGTCAATGTCTGTCTTTCCGGCTAGACTGCAGGCTGTGTGAGGTTAGCGCCCTATCTGCCTAGTTTCCTTTCCACTCTATTTCAGCACCCAGTCCGGGCCCGTGGAATGTCTCTGTTTTCTTCAGGTGCTAAAGAAGAAGGAAGATTTCACAACAGAAAGTCACGTCTTCCAGGTGGCAGCCTTAAGAGATCGGTACTCACAGCTCTAGGGCTTTCCTACCTGCCGGCCATGGCTTTGTAGTAAGCAAAGATCTGGTCTGCCAGCTTGTAGACAAACTGATCAAAACACAGGTTCACCTGGTAGAGAGGAAGCAGGAAACATTACTGGTGCCCATTCAGCTTTTTCACAGAAACTCAGCCAACTGAAAGAGGCCAGTCCCGCAGGACTGCCCAAAATGCATTCTGGGGAAAGACACTTTGAAGGGGAAAAAGAAGATTCTGTGGCTAATTTTGGGAGGTTTGGTCCCTTGCTCTCAGGGTCCTCAGTCAGTCAACAGACAAGGCAAAGTTCAAAAAGGCTATTGAGGAGCGGGCCTCCCCACGGCCACCCTCTTCAGCTGTTCTGAGGCCATCTGCCTGGCGGGAATGCAACAGACAGACCATCAGAACCTGTCAGTGCTCATATTCGCCCACTAACTTGGCAGCCTCCCCATCCATCTCTTCTGTTAGACTTATTTTTTTTCAATGTATTTTACTTTTCAATTTTTTTTTTTTTTTGAGACAGAGTCTAGCTCTGTTGCCCAGGCTGGAGTGCAGTGGTGTGCTCTTGGCTCATTGCAACCTCCACCCCCTGGGTTCAAGCGATTCTCCTCCTTCAGCCTCCCGAGTAGCTGGGATTACAGGCATCTACCACCACACCCAGATAATTTTTGTATTTTTAGTAGAGACAGGGTTTCACCATGTTGGTCATGCTGGTCTCGAACTCCTGACCTCAGGTGATCTGTCAGCCTCAGCCTCTCGAAATGTTGAGATTACAGGCGTGAGCCACTGCACCTGGCTGCAAATTTGTTTATGAAGTTGTCAGTCACATTTAAAAGCCCCATCCTTCAAACTTTGCTTAAATTTCTTTGGTTTTCAATGAATAAAGTCTTGCCATTTCAGTCTTATCATCAGTGATAAACTATAATGCTCAGGTGGGAAGACCCAGACACAGAATCAAACCAAATCTTCCAAAAATGGCAAAAGCAGGAAATGACCATGAGATGGGGTAAAGGTTACACTCTTACCTGCCTTCTCTTAACTAGGTAAGAGTGTAACGTCAAAGGAAACAGATCATATTTACTATCATATTTAATATTTTAAGTCTTTTATGTTTAATATATATGTGATCAACCTTCAATTCTTTTCTCACCAGATCCTCGGCCCCATAAGGTTAACGACTCAAAAAGCTTCCATATCCTTCATCTCACACCCCACATGGTATGCAGAACACAAAAGCACAGCGCTGTGTTTAGTGCTTTCCTCAGCCCTTGGTCACTGAGGCCTCTGTCCTGCACTTTGTGCTTCAAGGGTCATCAGTGGACCTCCCCCCGGGCAAAGAATCTATAGGGTCACAATGGGCGTGTGCGCTAAGGTCCCATTCTCCCCTTCTAGAACTAGCTCTGAGAAGCTTATACAGGTGGCTCAAGCCTCTTCCAGGGCCGTGTGCTCTCTTACCTGGCTTCACCTCTGGATGGCACAATGGGTGTGTGTGATCATAGGTTTTGGGTCTGGACACTGTTTTTGAGCAGAGGTGGCAGGCAGAGCTGGGGTATCTACACATGCACACGAAGCCCTTTATGGTGCAGCACAGAGTTTGGGCGTGGGAGGAGAAAGACAGCAGGCCCTGAGCTGGGTGTCTGTCTGTACTTCTGCCCTCAGAGGCTGCACAGGTCTTCTGATGGCCATGATCACAGAGAATCCTCCAGAACAAGTCACTCATACTCCTACTTTATGCTAATAGCAAGACTGGAAAAATCCAGAGTTTGGAACAAGATTAAAGGAGGAAAAAGAGAAGCACGTCACTTGCCTCAGCTTCGATCTCATCGTACAGGAACTGCTTTTTAAACTTGGTCAGAGCATAGTAAGCACTGTCGTTGTACAGATCCAAAGGGTAGAGGACATACCTGGAGAGGGAAAAACACAGCCAGCTGCTTACTAATGACCCCCCTAAAGGGAGACAGTTTTATACTTGCTTGGGAAATAGAAACAAGTTCAGAGTCAGGAAAAGACCATCTTTCAGCTGTCTCTGATGTTCCCAGTGCCTCCACCACTTAGGAACAACTTACTTTACAGTCGGACCAAAGAAATAAAAAGTTCGAGATGCAAATAAAACCAAGACTTGTAAACATTCATCTGGGACTAAAAGACATCAGGTGGCAGTTAAGAATATGACCTTCCTGATCCTGAGATGATTATTTTCTGAGCATAGCTGTTATGAGGCTGACAAGACATAGGAAGGGCAGTTGGGCTGGGAGAATTTGTCTACAAGGCTGAGTTAAATGATTCTGTCTGGCCTGAGCTCTCCCCATGGTGGGGCACACGGCCTGGTTTCTTTCCAACTTAGTGCCTCCTTCTGGAAAGAAGGAGCTCCCTGGCAAACTGCCCTCCACTTGTACCCCAGGAGCCACCTGCTGGCCCAATCCTGCCTCTTACTCCATCATAGAAGGTTCTTTGGTTTCCAGGATATGGTCCGTTAGAATCCAGGGCATTGACATCTCAATGGGGAACTGAATTCGTCGGCCCATGGTTAACTCCAGGAAGAATTCTCGGAACCAGAGCTGGGAGAGGTCGCAACATTGCTGCAGGGCTTCTGAAAGCATAAGAGAATGAGCCTTGGGTTACACTTAGCACTGAAAGACCTTAGTTCTTATTGTTTTTATTAATTTTTATTGTTATTGTCACTGTGTTAGGTACTTAGCAGGTCTTAATATTGATTAATAGATGCTGCTCTCTTTTACTTAAAGGCACACCTAACATCTACTTGGAAAATGGCATTTGTTAAGCTTGAGAGGCAGTGGTTGTGGGGTGGCAGGAGAGAAGGGGAGGCAGTGACATTTTAGAGCTTTAGATGCCCGTATAGTTCCCAACACCCTCCTATAAAGTTATTCTGGAAACCTGCAATCTAAGCATGAAAAGTACGCTCGTGACTGGGCACAGTGGCTCACACCTATAATATCAGCACTTTGGGAGGCTGAGGCAGGCAGATCACCTGAGGTCAGGAGTTTCAAGCCATCCTCACCAACATGGCGAAAGCCCGCCTCTACTGAAAATACAAAAAAAATTAGCTGGGTGTAGTGGTGCAGGTCTGTAATCCCAGCTACTCAGGAGGCTGAGGCAGGAGAACTGTTCGTACCCAGGACGCAGAGGTTGCAGTGAGCTGAGATTGCGACACTGCACTCCAACCTAGGTGACAGAGAGAGACTCCATCTCAACAACAACAACAACAAAAGTGTGTTCAGTATACTTCATTACACAAACACAGTGTCAAGATAGGCCTCAAGTGCCCACTTTCAACTGGATTGTGGCTCCTTGACCCCTTATGTGTGTTAGTTCCTAGATCCCATGCAGTTTTGAGGTCTTGAAGGCCCTTCCCTGGCTACTCTCTAAAGGAGAAATTTGTACTGTTTGTTACGATGACTCTTTTCAATGCGGGCAGACATAAAACGACTCATGTCCCTGAGATACTACTCTTCGTCTGATCAAGTTTAAAAAGCAGTTCCTGTACGATGAGATCGAAGCTGAGGCAAGTGACGTGCTTCTCTTTTTCTTTTGAGATGGAGTTTCCCTCTTGACGCCCAGGCTGGAGTGCAGTGGCGCAGTCTCAGCTCACTGCAACCTCCTCCTCTCCCAGGTTCAAGCAATTCTCCTACCTCAGCCTCCCCAGTAGCTGGGATTACAGGCATGTACCACCACGCCCAGCTAATTTTGTATTTTTAGAGTTTCGTCATGTTGGCCAGGCTGGTCTTGAACTCCTGACTTCAGGTGATCCACCCGTCTCAGCCCCCAAAGTGCTGGGATTACAGACAGGAGCCACGACACCCAGCCCATACCTCTTACTAAAAGGAAAGGAAGTGTGACAAACAAAGGATTGGGAAGTGGCTCGAGAGCCTCCCCTGCTGGCAGCAGCAAGTACTAATTAGTGCTCAGCTGTGGCTGAGTAGCAAAAGTCTAGCAACTATGTGTATGTGCATATTCTTGCTTTTGATCCCTCTCTACTAAGGACTTTATGACAAATTAGCCACAGGTATCTCCTGGACAACTTTAGCTAGGTCAGAACAGCTGAGTTGAGACTGGTGTTTCCTAACTCCAAAAGCCCAATGGAAAGTGTGCATGTTTTTTCCTTAGTGGTGATATGTGCCCCTTACGGTCAATGATCACATCCCTTTGCAGTGCCTGGCTTGGTGGTCTCAGTGGCTCTGAGAGCCCTCATCCCCTCCCCCAATGCCTTAGCGGGGGTGGGATGCAGCTCACCGCTGATGTTGAGCAGATGTGTGAAGAAGAAGGACTGTTTGTGAAAGTCCTCTATGGCGAGGACAATGGGTCCGTCGAGGCTGCTCCTCAGGGTCTTCTTGGAGCCGCTTTTGTCTGCAATGAGCGATTCAAGCATGGTCCGCACCATGTACAGCTTGAAGAAGAAAGCAAGATGAGAAGGTCAGAAGCTGGCCCTCTACCCTGGGGAAAAGGTTGCTTCATGTTGTATTTATTTATTTATTTCTGCAGGTATCTGCTTTTAAAAAGCACTGTCTTAAGGAAGCACCAGTTTAGGTTTGAGAAATAAATGCGGAACTGTGAAAACCTTCATGGCCAAACCGGGCCCCGTGGCATTCCTGGGCCAGTGGACCTGGCCACACCAGGTAGCTCCCTGCTCTGCTTGGCCAAGGGTATGTATATCAGAGGAGAACCTCATTACGTGTCACCCTGGAGTCACTCCCTGCTTTCCCAGAGGGCCACAGATGCCATGGGTGGAGCACTGGACCGGGAGTCAAAAGACCAGGGTTCAAGGCCAGGCACTGCTGCTGATTTGCTGTGTGACCTTAGGCAACAAAGCCCCCACTCTGGGCCTCAGTTGTCTTATGTAACACGAGGGGGTTGGACCAGATGCCTTCTCACACCAGTCCCTTTCAGCACTAACATTCTGAGGAACTGAGAAATGGGATAAGATCAGAATGAGCCCCCTCCCACACCTGTTCCTGACCCTCAGTGTTTTGACCCCACTGCTGAGTGCTGGCGCCC